AAAGGGAGGATTTTAAACATAAAATGATTTCTTTTTCTTTTTATATAAGTTAGGACTTCCATCAGTAGCCCTGGAATTGTTACTTGTTAAAATAAAAATGCACAGGCTGAATGGAACGGATAAATTTTATATATTCTAGTCAGCAAAAGTCCTTGTACCATTAATTCTCTTTTAAAATCTGTAGCAGTACATTAATTTGAACTGCAGATACCCAGAAAAGTATTACTCTAAGAGGATTGATTTCTTAGTGTGTAGAAGCTTACCAAGAAATAGAGAAAATGGACTTAATGTGTGTGTGTAAGTTTGCAACCACAATTTTTTTATATTACAATATTCTTTATATTAATAATACATTGAAAGGAAGAGAGCCTTAAGAGAATATGAGTTGACTACTGAATTTAGAGGTAAGGAGATTCCTTCATGATGTTTTAATTCTTTATCTTAAATTTTTTTCTCTCAGAAAAATCTAAATCTTGATAATTTTGAATTTTGTTTGATATTAACTTATTTCTACATGCTAATGCCATTCTGAACATATACCATCATTTATATACCTTATTTGTTTTTTAATAAGAAATACCTACGATATATTTTTTTGAAACAAAAGATATGATGTTACCATCAGAGAACTCAGATTTGAACTTAGAACTATTAGGTATGTCAAGAAAAGGAGACAAGATTGACTTAAAAGATAAACATTTCTTCAGCAGACTCTGAGATTTCTTAGACAAAACTAATGTCTATCAGTCACTTCTAGACTTCCCTAGCAGTAAGTCTGTCTTTGGGAGAAAATTGTGTTTTCAGTATTTTTATCTCACATTGCTTTGCTTTTTATAAGCAAGATTATGATTTTATTTCCTTCTACTTTTTTTAAAAAAAATTCTTTCTTTAGACTTTGCTAGGAAATGTAGCTTTGTTTCTGCAATGAACATAGACACAGCACTTTCTTAGCATATATAGTATTAAAAATAACCAGTGTTGACTTTCCCTTATTTAATAAGTATAATCTTCCTGTGAATTGTGTATAAAATAAGTGGTTTTATATCCTTTTTGTACTTGGCTAGAGTTTTTGTATAGAAAACTTTATGCCCTTCTAATAGCTCATCTTAGACATAGTAAATGTTTCCTAAATGGAACATGGTTAATTAAGGCTTTTCTAAAATTTTTGCATTTGTTTTCTCTTAACTCGAATTATCATAGACCTCTTTTGACTAAAAATTTTTTGCTTTTCAGATAGCTTTCCTTACTAGTGGGTGCAGTACTTAAGTAGACAGTCTCCCTTCACTGCCAACATCCTTCCCAACTGGAACTTGCATGTGCTCATATGTATTTAGGTGTGTTTATGTTATATATTGCTGTGTTTGACAGTGGACCCTAAAGTTTAGTGGCCTAAACGAACAAGTAGTTTATTTGCTTACAATTCTGCAGGGTGAGATTTGGGCTAGCTGTTCAATTTAGGCAGCATCATCTAGGGTTATTACTTTGCTCCATTCAGCTGGTGGCAGGCTTTGGATGGCATGTCCCAGAAGGCTTTTCTCCTAAATCTGGTACCTCAGTGCCTCCATTGAGGGGCCACTTTCTCTCAACGTGGCTTGCTAGGGCTTTCGCACAGCATGTTTGTCCCGCGCTAATTGGATTTCCCACTTGGTGGCTGTTTTAAAAGAGGGAATGTTTGTTTTAAAAGGTGCAAAAGCAGAAGCTGCTGGTTTCCTAAGGCCCTGCCTTAAGTTCCACTGTATTACTTCTGTCATATTCTGTTGTCTGGATGGTCATGTAGCCAGCCTAGATTCACAGGAAGAGGAAAAAGAATGCCAAATAATTTTTAGGTATCTTTAATCTACTTCAAGATGTAATTTTTTTCCTTTGGACATAAATAGGATGTATCTGGAGTAGAGCTCCAAATTAACCACTAACTATCCTATTTTCCCAACTTTAAGAAATACCTTTTTACATTTAAATATTTTGGAAATCTGCACGTTTAATTTATATTGTGTAGTTTTTCTTCCTCTTAAAAAGATGTTATAAATGGTACCATCTTATTGGTGATACCTTAAAATAAAATAAAATAAAAACCTAAACAAATTGTTTTCTTATCAGTTCCCAAGTTGGAGAAGGGGAAGGAGAGAAATTTTACCTCAGTGTCATCAATGTTGGCATTAGTGATTCCAAAATTTAGATGAAATCCATAGATAGTGGCCACATAGATCAAATTATAGGTGAAATAAAGACTGGGTCAGGAAGTTGGGTATAAAGCAGAGTATTTATTTATACAAGTGACTAGCTTAAAGCTTTAAAGCAGAGGAGAGCTGAGTTTTAAGCAATAGAAAAAGCACACAAAGTTTTACGTAGGTGTTCACACATCACTTTACATAGTAAAGTCTAGCCTAAGCGTCAGTAAGTGGAATTGATTAAGTAATTATTAATCCATGTAATAAAAAGTACTATTAAGCTGTTGAAAAGATGAGTTAGAAAAAACTTCACAGGGAAGGATGTCATTATATATGTATAACTTCTTTAAAGAAGTTATGAAGTAACATGTATTCTAATCCAATGTTTGTGGTTAAGAAGTGTGAGTGCATGCATCTGTGTGTGGGCATGTGAAAGTTTTGGAAGGATATATGCCAAAATGTTCATAGTGATCTGTAGGTTATAGCGTTATAGATAATATCCATTTTTTCCTTTATACTCTTACTATTAAAAAAAAAAAACCAAGCAATTTGTTTACAGGAATTTGCCATTTAAAAAAAACTTTAAAATTTTTTAAAATTAAAAAATTGAAGAAACAAGCAAAATGACATGTACAGAAAAGAAAGCTGTTGTTATTAAAAAGAATAAGTGGCACACTTGAGATTAAATTTTGTGTTTATAATAAGTTTAGTCTTCAGATGGGATTCTGTTGGGGGATACTTTTCCCATATTTTTAGGTGGAAGGAGAGGAGTCTGGAATGCTTGTAACTTGCATTCACATATTAAATATTTAGGGAAAGAACCAGGAACTGCTAATATCTGGCCTATGTAAGATATTACCACAGTCTATGTATATTACTACACAGCTTTTTGAGTTCTTAGGTAGGGTCATCTTCCTTGGACTGTCAACTCCAACCTATCTGAAGCTTTAAAATCAGACTATTATGTATTTTATACCAGGAACACTGAATCATTAAGAGCTAACCTACTTCTGAAGAATACTATTGAAACCATAAAAGTAGATCTTTTGTAGTTGAAATCTGTTACTCACTTTTATCATAAACCAGACTTTTAAAAAAAGATCCATTTTATGTTTTTTAGTTTAGGATTAACATGTATAAAAGAATTCACTGTATATGTTAATGTAACATCTTTAATGTGTAGGTGTTAATAGAACATCTTACATTTTTTCCTTTTTGAGATATATAATGTTCCTTTTTGTTATCTTTTCTAATATCTTTTCTATTTCTAATATGTGAAAAAGTGTTCCTTTTTTCATATTTCAAATGGGTTATTATTGTTAAATATTATTAAATATTTTGATTTGTTTGAATTGTAGTGCTAGCCAACCTGATTTAAATATTATACTTTTTAAGCGATTTATTTCTGTTCTAAACCAGTTGGAATGACTTTAATTTAAATGTTCTCTTGCAATCCCCACATTATATATCACAGGAACAAATTATAATTGTACTTCACCAAACAATAAACTTTATGCTGCCCTTTCTCAATACTAATGATACTTTCTCAATGATAATTATTGGAAAGCAACAAAAGGTTGGGATTAATATTGTTGTAAAAAAGAAGGAAAGAACACCAGTTTGTACAGATCACAATTCCAAATAGTATTTGATGGAGATAGTGAGAGATGCCCCTGTTAAATCTGCACCTGACTTTCAGGGAAAGCAAGAGATTTACATCAGTAGATTAATATTAGAACTGTTATTCTGTATTGAAGGAATATAAGATTAGAAGAAATTAAAACTTCTTAGGAAGCTGTTGCCATAATTTTAGTGTAAGTCATTCTGATTTCTGAGGGCAGGCAGAAAGAGAAGGGGATAGTTAAAGAGATGTTCAGAAGGCAGAACTGATAGGATTTGGTGATTATGTGAAGTGACAAGGAAGGACAAGGAAGTTGCTCAGCTCAGCTCTCTGGTAGATGATGGTGCTGTTCACTGAGCTGGCCCCTAGAGGAGGAGAAGGAAGAAAGATATTCCTTCTATTAAAATATCCTATCCCGACTGCTACCCCAGTGGAAAGTGGAAAAGAAAAGCAATGTCCTTTAACATCTTGAGGGAGAGCATGGCTTCTTAAAGAAAAGCTGCCTTTTAAAAACTTTTGATGGTTACTGAATTATATACTACATGAAAAAGAAGGAAGGAGAATTTGTGACCCTTTCCAGATTGGTAGTTAAAGATTTTTCCCTTGTTTTTCCTTCCTCCTGTGCCTGGCTGATTTGTTTAGATAAGCTTATAAGCTCCCAACACATTAATAAATGGAGCTTTCTGAACATCTGGGCTTATGGTGGCAGCAGCATAAAGGTCAGGAGGAGACCTTGTTGCCTGTGTTCCTTAATTATAGATTGCATAATCCTTAGACGATTCTTGCTGCATTTCTGCACAGTTCCCTTTCTGTTTCTTAAGGAGACCCAGAAATGCTTGATTTGACTATTTGAGCATGGTAATGACCCATTTTTAAAGATAAGATTTTAAAATTTTTAATTTAAAATTGCTTAAATAGACCATCTTCATGGCTTATTGACCACTGATTTACAACCTTAAAAGGTAAAGGCAAATATCCTTAAGAATGATGGTGATTCTGAAATATGCCCCAGTTTTTGAAAACAAATATATGTGTTGCTTATATGTTTAACATACACATTAGAATGTGTTTCAGACATAATAAAATAATAATATTAATACAGATTAAATAGTATTTTGTGGGTTCTTTTACATTTTTGACTAAATATAGTTGTTTTGTTTTGCTTTAAAAATAAGTAATATGTAAAATCATATATTTTTTTAAAATTTCAGATAGAAAATGCTGCTGAAGAACCTAGAGTCTTATGTATAATACAAGATACTACTAATTCAAAGACAGTGAATGAACGGATCACTTTAAATTTACCAGCATCTACTCCAGTCAGAAAACTCTTTGAAGATGTGGCCAACAAAGTAGGCTACATAAATGGAACCTTTGATTTGGTGTGGGGAAATGGAATCAATACTGCTGATATGGTAAAAACCCTAGACTTGAAGCATCTTCTCTTAAGCTGCTAATAATGTTATTACAACCTTTATTATTGTTGTTGTTGTTACTATTGATTTATGTAATCCTGGAACTCTTTTTAGTATCATAAGCAAAAGTATAACAACCATGGTTAGATCCTTTGAGCAACTCAATAATTGGATTCCTCCTCTTCCCTTTGTCTCCATTTTAGATCCAACATTTACTTGTCCTAAAGTTTGAGTAATATCATTTCATCAGTTTTTTCATTCATGAAAAGTGACTACTATTGTGTCAAGTAAAGAAAATTTTCAATATTTACTGAATGCAATAATGTTCATCTTACATTTTTTTCAATGAAAAAGGATATAAAATCATATGTATTTTAGGATTTAAGTTTTGAAAAAAAAGAAAAAATGCATATAGAAAGAGAAAGGAGTAGAAGGGTGTATACTCCAGTGGTAAAAGAGATTATCTTTAGGTGACTTCTGTTTCTTTTTGTGTGTCTGTGTGTCTTTCTGGGTTACTTTTTATAAGTTTATTTTTCTGTATGAGCACATACAGCTTTTGATTTCCCCTCTCAAGCTCAAAACAGTTTTTAGTGACTACAGTCATCTCAGTTCTCTTTGGAGTTTACTTTCTCATTCTTCTGTTAACTGTTTCCTTAATTATTTATCCTTCTTTACTTGCTGTGTTTGGTTTATCTCTTTCATGGTATAGCATTTCATTAAATATTTAGTGATTATTCTACTCCATTGAGAATCTGTTAACGTCTCTGTGAATACTGACTAAACTTACTGTATTAACTTAGGATTGTTATAGGAAAAGGGGTGGGATATGCTGTTGGGTGTGGTGTGTTTATAATTTATCCTGGGATCAGCTAGTGTCTGTTTTCAGGTTGGAGGGTGATCAGTACCTACCTGGACAGTACTGCCTCTCTGGCCTTAGTGCCCAGGTTTTACTCTGGCGTGAAACAGAAACTGCTATCTACTGCTTAGCAAGAAAAGAGGAGAGGCCAAATGATTAGAATGCCTTTTACCTCTTGCTCCCGGCAGTAGTTCCTTAGCCTCTACCTCTTGTCCTTAGTCAGGAGTTCCCCACCACCTTTATGTCCACAAGTCTTCTCTGTTGGTGCTTTGCGCTGTGGTTTTCCATAAATCTGATCAATCTGCTTTCTGTCATAGAATTTCTCAGAATTTCCAGCTTGCTAAGGGCACACTTTTGGTTTCCTGCACTGTTATAAGATTTTTCTTAAACTATATTGTGGAGTTTGGGGGAGAATTATTGGTAGACATGTCCTTCATGTCTTTAGGTCACCATCTGGCCTAAACCTGTATGAATTTTTACTATGAAAATAAATAATTGCAATTATGAAATAAATTTTAGGAACCCTGCGATAGCTTCATGCCTCACAGCAACCTCAAACTCTTCAGTTATCCTCTTGCCTCAGGTTCCTGAGTAGCTGGGAATACAGGTGTGTACCACTACACCCAGCTAGTGTTTTTCTATTTTCAGTAGAGACGGGGTCTCATTTTGGGGGGTCTTGAACACCTGAGCTCAGGCAGTCCACCTGCCTCAGCCTCTCAAGAGTGTTGGGATTACAGGCATGAGTTTTCGTGCCCAGACAGAATCAAAGATATATGATGTTGCCTGATTTGCCTTTAAAATCATATTTTACTTTCTATTCTGTAATATATTTGTGGGTTTTTTTAAAAAATAGAGAACTAATGTTTTAAATTAGTTAGTTTTTTCCCTCTGGGGGAAAACATGGTTAGACATGTTAATTTCCAAAGCAACTAGTAGAATTGGTAGTCCACCAGGATTTAGAAAGATAAACAGTATTTAATCTGAAATGTTGAGTGCTTTCTGGCACATTGCCCTGTACCTTTTAATGTTATCTCTTTTCCAGTTTAAAAGGTAGTTCTATATAAGGTGCTACCTGTCTTCCCAGGTTCTATTTCTTTTAGCCAAGAAGACTTACTTGACATTTCCTCATGGTACTTCAAAAGTAATTTCTTTCTCTTTGACCTCCTGTACTTTTTTGTTCTGCTATGCCATTTATCAGAGTTTCTTTTTGTTGTTATTCATTTGTGTCTTTCCATTTGGTTGACTGTAAGTGTTTTGTTTTATTTTTGGGGGACAGAGCCTCAAGCTGTCGCCCTGGGTAGAATGCTGTGGCATCATAGCTTACAGCAACCTCCAACTAACTCCTGGGCTTAAGCGAGTCTCTTGTCTCAGCCTTCCAAGTAGCTGGGACTACAGGCCACAATGCCTGGCTATTTTTTGGCGGTAGTTGTCATTGTTGTTTGGTGGGCACGGGCCGGATTCAAACCCACCAGCTCTGGTTTATGTGACTGGTGCCTTAGCCTCTTGAGCTACAGGTGCCAAGTAAGTGTTTTGATGGCAGGAACCTCATAATAATTTTGTGTCCACCATAGACATTTATCCTGGGCACCCAACATCTGTTAAATGATCTTCCACAGCTTTATGTCAGGATTACCTATTTCTTCAGCTGTGACTGTTCGCAGTGCTCCATTTATGTATGTTTACTTGGCTATTATATGTTTCTACAAGCATGCCTGCTTTCACCTGCGTACTGCACAGTGCTGCACGGATGTTTCTCTGAAAGTCAAACCCATGTTGCTACTTACTACCTTGTATATACATAGGCATTTATTGAGGCAAAACTCCTTGGTATTCCAGTTATATCTAATAGTCTTTCATGTCCCACCAGTAAATCTAAGGGACCCAGTGATAACCTTCCTCCCTCTGTGTAGCTTCACTTAGCTTTAGGTTTTCTGTGTCCCATTTTTCTTGTAGGTTTCTAGATGGGAGCCACAGTAAAGACATAGATCATGTTAGTTTGTTATTTTAGTTATTTAGCTCTTCTTTGTACTTATTATGTTCCTAGTATTATTCTAAATTCTGTGCAAGTATAATCTTATTTATTATAGACTACCCTCTGAGGTAGGTACTGTTTCAGCCTCTTACTGTAGGTGAAGAAACTTAGTCATGGGGAAGTGAAGTAATTTGTCCAAAGTCACACACATAGTAAGTAGCAGAATCTCTTCCAGTTATTTTTTAAAAATCTTAATCCTATACTTCTGTACAATGTTAGACATGTTAATTTCCAAAGCAATAAAGGCTTTTCCATAAAACTAGTCTTCTTAAGGAGGCAAGAGTCATACCTATAAAACATTAAAAACATTTTTTAATGTGACAAGAGGGTTTTAAAACAGAGGAATGGGATATTCACCCCTCCTCCCTCATTTTTCTCAACAGTGTTCTAGAGTGTGAGTGAATAGGGCTTGGGGCATACAGAGTTCCATATCTTGTCCACCAACTAAGGTTTGTTGGGATGGTGGTTAGGGTTGAAATTCTCCTAGCATAGAAAAGAGGTAGGCGTAAACTATTGACTCTTAGATGTTTAATTTTCAAATATCAGTTTGAAATTCACCCTGGGATCTTCTGGATCCTTGTAGTAGACTTGAAATGGATGTAAATTATTGGGACAGGCTTTTTTTTTCCTTATGGGGTGTATTTGAAGACACTTTTACATTAGTTACATTTTTGTTATACTGCATAGTTATACTACATAATTATTTTGGTTGGGTTGCTTAGTCTGTTGATTATGTGGGAAGTCTTATTGTATTGAAATATCAAAACATTTTATAGTTTTTAGTTATGTAACATTATCTTTAGTCACTTTTCTTCAAAATCCATAAATATTATACTGCATACATTTTAGAGAATATAGAAATAGCAATTTTTATAGATTCTTTTTTTGTTTGTAGTAATTAACCTTCCCTCTTGACCGTTACCCTTTCTCTGTCCAGTTTTTTTAGATGTTGGGGAATATGAGCTTCTGGGATACCTGGCAGGGTTTACACTGTCACTGGGCTTGGCTATCTCAGTTCATGAGTAAATGAACTGACTTTTACCAGATCATTATTGAAAAAATTCTACTTAAATGTGGATATGTATCCACTTCCATGCTATTTATTTTATTATTATAATTGAAGTTTCTCGTAATCTGAGGCATTATATTTTATGTCCATAGGCCCCACTGGATCATACCAGTGACAAGTCTCTTCTTGATGCTAATTTTGAGTCAGGAAAGAAGAACTTTCTTCATTTAACAGACAAAGATGGTGAACAACCTCAAATACTACTGGTAAGCTGCTTAGAAGGCCCTAATTTTTGTGCACTGTCACCTACTACTTGAGAATGTAATTTTCCAAAGGAAAAAGTCAAGATATGTTTTGTAATTTGCATAAGAAATTATTTTTCCATTTTATGTTACTTTGTTATAAGTATGTACAATAATATGATTACACCAGACATGCAGCACCATATTGCCACACTGGGTTTGACATGAGCTTCCATTTTGAAGACCACTGCACTAGGCATGGGACTTGGTCTTGGTATAAGTTAAACCCCCACAAAGATCTCTCCCATGTTTCAGAGGCCTTTTCTTCTTGCACTTGCTCTGAGCTTTTGAGAACCATGCTCTTCACTAAAACTTTACTCAGGAAAAATTGTTTTATCTTCTTCATTTAGAAATCTATTTGAATAAAAATCTTTGTGAATAAAAGTACCTTCTTGGATAGTACTAAAGCAATACCAAAATATATTCTTTGATCTTCTTTAATCTCATTATTTTTATGACGACATGAGAGAGTTTTGATTATGTGACATAGCAGTCTAAAATAGCTATTCATTTAGGGAACTCTGGATTCACAGTTTAGGGATTCATGTTTTAAAATGCATAGTAATTATTCTTCAGCTCTGTCCTAATAGCTTATTCTATTTGTGTGTCTTTTAGTTCTTTCAGTCTGTCTTCCTCATTAGCAGACTGTTGTGTGAACTGTGTTTAACTCATGCAAGTTTGAGCCCTTGTGAAGCATGTGGAACTGGAGGACAAGTGGAAAGATCCGTAGCCTGAGTTTGTGCTGTGAAACCTCTGCTCATTGTTTTTGCTGTCAGTTGGCATGTTTTCTCCACTTCCTGTTGCTCTGCACAGGCGTGCCACACACGCTGGATTGTTTTCTCCAGTTTGCATAACTTCTGATTGTGCATTTCCCCTTCAATGTTTGCCTGGTGGCTCTTTGAATGAAGTGGATATTATTGTATGTGACAGTGTGACATCGTTGCACATCCTTAGTGGGTATGATTCAGAGGTTCTCACCCAGGACCATCCCAGGTCCCCTCCAGACACAACTAAATACTTGTGGAATGACAAAAGACTTAATTGTCAGGAACAAATTCAATAAGTTGTGCGTCACATTTCGTCACAATTCGTGGGGAACAGTGTAATAATTGATGTTAGCACTGTGTGAGTTGCATATAACTCACATTGAAAACAAAAAATAAAATGTGTTTCAAAGTTTTTATTCTATTTTTGGAATAAAATATGGCCCAAGGAAAAAAATTTTTTTCTAGCATGGTAGTTAGTGAGCACTAAACGTCTTTTCTGTGTAAACAGAGAATTAAAGAAAATTTGAAAAGTAAACACTGTGAAAGGAGACATGAGCACCTCACAGAGGGGTTTTATGTCAGATATCAAAACCTTCCTGTGGGAAATGGTGATAATATATACACTTTGAATGCCTTGATGTAACTGTAATAGTAATGCCATGTCTTTTGTTTTTTCCATTATCTCAGCAATCTGCATGTCTTTTTTCATTGTTTCAGCAACATTTGTTATTAAATATTGATTATGCTGTATTTTAGGAGGATTCCAGTGCCGTGGATGACAGTGTTCATGACAGGTTTATAGGCCCACTTCCAAGAGAAGGTTCTGTGGGCTCTACCAGTGACTATGTCAGCCAAAGTTACTCCTATTCATCCATTTTGAGTAAATCAGAAACTGGTAAGATTTATTGTTGTATTTTTATAAAATCATAGGGCATAGATTCAGAGTAATCTTAGTGATTTCAAATCTAATCCTCTTATTTTACGCATAAAAAAACTGAGACCCAGAGTAAGATCACCAGCGACAAAGTTGAACAAGAATGTGGTTTATCTCTCCCTCAGTCCATCGTTTTTACTATATTGTTTGTTGCCCCATTTAACCATTATGTAAAAAATTTAATAATATTGTGAAGGAAGGATTTTCTTTTTAATAAGTTTTCATTTTGACTATAATCTTATATTTTTGAAGTTGACTTCCTCTGGAAAGTCCTTTTAGATTAGGACAGATTATGGAGACTATATTTCCATTTTGAATTAGATATGCCATGCTTATTTTATTGGGTCTTTTAAATTAATCTAACCATGTGCTTGAAATGAACTATATTATTTTAAAATTTCTTTTAAAACTTTTTTCTGAACATGGTTGAACCTAGATTTTTGAGTTTTTCTATTTATTGAGCTTAGTGAAATTGCTTTATTCATACATAAGTTTATTCATTTATATATAAAGAGTGGCTAATGGCCTAATGAATATACTCTAGCTATATTTGTATATCATTTCATCTTACAACAAACCTTTGTAGAAGTTAGTATTTTTCATGTAGAGGGAAGTGGAATCTGGGGTTCAGAGAACCCTTTGATTGCACACCTAGTTAATGGTATTTCATGGTGAGTACAGCTTCAGAGCCTTTATTTTTAGAACTTCAAACAGAGGTGATTTTACATATGACATTATAAATATCCAGTATAAAAAGTACTCTATGGGTTACATTACAGACATTGTTACTATATTTTGTTAATTAGAACTGAAAATAATTTGCTCATAGCTAATTATTGTGTAGGGTTAATGGTTTATTTGTTCTGGAAATAACAGTAGAAGATGGTCATGTTTGATACTCAGAATCATTTTATAGCAATAGGATGTTTTACAACAAACTACCACAATAAAAGAGAATGCAGGCTCGACGCCTGTGGCTCAAGTGGCTAAGGCGCCAGCCATCTACACCCAAGATGGCGGGTTCAAATCCAGCCCGGGCCTGCCAAACAACAATGACGGCTGCAACCAAAAACAGCCGGGCGTTGTGGCTGGCGCCTATGGTCCCAGCTACTTGGAAGGCTGAGGCAGGAGACTCGCTTGAGCCAAGGAGTTGGAGATTGCTGTGAGGGGGGACAGCTTGAGGCTCTGTCTCAAAAAAGAAAAAAAAAAAGAGAATGCAAAATTTTCTTTCATTTTAGATAATAGGAGATAATAAAACTGTTGTCCACTATACTGTCTAAGTAGTGATTCTTATTTCTTTAAAAAGATTAGATTTTTATTTCTTTAAAAATTATTTGAGGGCCCTTGTTAAAAAAATATAGGTTCCAAACCATTACTATCCAAACTACTGATATAGCTGCTCTGTAGTAGGCTGGAAGAAATTGCATTTTGTTTTAAATAAGCATCTGAGATTATTCTGAGTAGTTGAAACACTTTGAAAAAGTTACAGATTTAACAAATCAGGATTTCTGAAATATTTACTCTATATTCAGTTTTTTATGTAACAGATATTTACAGAATTCCACTTTGTGCCATGTACTAGGTTCAGATGCCTATGGCTATCTGATGCCTGTAAATTCCTTGATACTAAGACGTGCTTTAAAAAAATCTTTCTTTGATTATAGTAATGTAATACATGTTGTTATCATAGTGTAAAAGTGAAATTCACTGACAATACTAATGATTTCACTTATTTTTATCTTATCTTTCCTCTGTACACCTATTTTTTTTTTAAAAATGGGGGATCATGTTATGAGCAGATTTTTTAATCTATATTTTGCACTTAATACTATTTGAGAAGCATTTCAGTGTTATTAAATATAAGGTTTTAAATGGCTAGAAAATAGTGTTGCATTGTATAGGTCTATATATTTAAACTGTCTCTGTTTTTTTTTTTTTTTTTGAGACAGACTCTCAAGCTTTCACCCTGGGTAGAATGCCATGGTGTCATAGCTCACTGCAGCCTCCAACTCTGGGTCTCAAATGTTCAAGCAATCCTCTTGCTTCAGTTTTTTTTCCCCCCTTTCTATTTTTAGTAGAGACGGGGTCTCATTTTTGCTCAGTCTGGTCTTAAACTTATGAGCTCAAGCTCATAAGCCACCGTGCCCAGCCCTGTCTCTGATTATTATTGATGTTATGATGAAAATTCTTGTACACAAGCTCTTATTCTCATCTCTGATTATTTCCTTAGAGTAAAAGTCCCTAGAAATTTGAATTACTAGGTTCAAAAAAGCTTTTTAGAACCCTTTGTTATACATTGCCATGTAATCATGATCTTCATTCTCAATTACATATTTTTACTCTACTTCTTTCCCTTCCTGTACATTTTCCTTCAGCATTCTGGGGTACTCTCTTTCTGAATTAAAATAGTTTCTAAGCATCCAAAGGGATCATAGCTCAAAAATTATTTTATCAGTCACTATTTAATTTGAACTTTCATTAAGAAATTATTATAAATTTTGGTACCATGCAGGAAATGTTTCCATTGAAAAATGTTCTCATCATTTTAACTTAGGGCTGTAGAAAGACATTTCTCAATAATGCAGTGGGTTTGGGGACTTAACATATATTTTTCTGTCTTTTTTTTCCTACCAACTCCCCTAGGTAGCAATCCACTATTGATAGGAGATGGTGGATGATAGATGAAATTTGGTGGATAAGCAGTGGGTTGATTGGACTGATGTAGACTCACAAGTCATTAGAAATTTTAAGTCTTTGGCTAGTTTCTTTTAACATTTATTTTAGCTAGTCTGTTTGATTTTATTTTATTCAGCCTATTTGATTTCTCCTTCTTTACCTGTTGGTTTGTTTAGGATTTCTTTCTGCATGTACCCTCTATGAGTTGAGGACTACAGCAGTGGTCCCCAACCTTTTTGGTATCAAGGACGAGTTTTATGCAAGAAATTTTTTCCATAGACTGGAGGTGGGATTAATGGTTTTGATATGAGTCTGCAACCAGTTGATTTATTTATTATCTGCAGTCTCTGCTAATGATGATCTGTATTTGCCGCCACACTCCCCAGCACTAGTATCACCACCTTCACTTCACCTCATATCATCAGGCATTAGATTCTCAGAAGGAGTGCGCAGCCAGATCCCTCACATGTGCATGTGTAGAGAATCTCCTCTGGGAATCTAATGCCACGGTGATCTCTCACTGGACACAGGACAATAGTAGTAACCATTTACCTCTTAAAGCTCCACATAGATTGGTTGTCTCCAACTGCTAAGGGGTTGGGAAGAGATGGAAAAGAAGGGAAATCCCAAGCAGCCGCTGCTGAGAAGGTGCAGAGCAAAACAACCTGGTCTCTGGCCAAAGTGCTGCTCTTTGTGGGGGAAAACTCTGTTTATATGAACTAATGAAATAATCAGGCCAGATACTATATAAATGTGTTAACTTGTAAGTCATATGCACTGCCCCCTTGCGAACCTGCCGCTATGCTAGATAGTAGGATAGCGAGAAATCAGGTTCTTCTTATAGTCTAATGGGGAAGATGTGTAAGTAAATGGGTAATTACAGAAGAGTAAAATAAAGGCTTTGCTGTGGATTAAGGACAGGACACTATGAGAACAACTCAGGTAGGGATAGCCAGGAGCTGAAGCAGTTATTAGAATTATATAATAAGGTAAAATAAAATATATATACTTGCACACAGTATTCTTAAAGATGAAGAAATCAGAATCAAAGCTTGAACAAAGTGAAAAGCAGATAGCTAAAGTCCTTGGTCCCTTTTTGGAATCATACAAGTGCAGATGGTGTCGATTCATATTACTCTTTACTAATCTATACAGTTATACATATAATAACTTGTTAAAATAGAAGAAGTCTCCCTGCAGTACTTAGAGTCTCAGCTTGTGAATTTATCTTCTATGTTATTTATTTTTGATGACAGGGATAACTGGTTCAGTACAGAATGTACACTCAGGTGTGGGTGTGATATTTAAGATGAATGTGTTTATATTTTTCCATTTTTAGCTCTCAACTTCTACATTTAAGGAAAAAGATTTTCTTTACAAATAAGACATCCTGTATTAAACATATTTCTCTTAAAATTTTATTGGATGTCATATAAAAATCTCTGGACATATCTGTAATAAGACATATGACATCCTGTAAAGCAAGGTTTACATGAAAAGCATGGATATTAGAAAAGGGATTTTTCTTAAGTGCTATTGAAAAAAATTGAAACAATTTCCAACTGAGTAACCTTAACCTCTGAATCTTTACTATTAAATTTTTATTATATTCTTTTTTGTTGTTTTTTAATCTAAATTTCAATTAACATGCATTTGTATTTTTTTTTTTAAAGGATATGTGGGATTAGTAAACCAGGCAATGACTTGCTATTTGAATAGCCTTTTGCAAACACTTTTTATGACTCCTGAATTTAGGAACGCATTATATAAGTGAGTATTCAAAGACATTCTTGAAATAAAATTGATTTAAGAATTAAAATATAGTTTTTAACTAATGAAATGTAATTTGCCTTCTTGGACTGATAAAGTTTAGGGCCTTTCTCACTTCGTAAAATGTAACTTTTTATATAAGAGCAAGGATCTTCCGAAAGACAGGTATATGAAAACTGTATGTGAAGAGAGAATCAGAAGTGCATAGATAGGAAAGGATGCAATTGGAAAGATTTATATATAGCAGCGGTTCTCAACCTGTAGGTCCCTACCCCTTTGGACCATCGGAAGACACATCCTGCATATCAGATATTTACATTACGATTCATAACAGTAGCAAAATTACAGTTACGAAGCAGCAACGAAAATAATTTTATGGTTGTGGGTCACCACAACATGAGGAACTATATTAAAGGGTCGCGGCATTAGGAAGGTTGAAAACCACTGATATAGGGTAAATGTAGACTTTCTTTGCTTATAGTTTTAACACCTTTATGAGAAAGAAATGTTATCTGCTTTCGAGAGAATCTGAATATGTAACCCATATTCTCCTTTCTGCTCATTTAAGGATGCAAAGTTAACTTTTGTTAAACTTGCAGACTTTATTTCTAGTTAAAATACGTGTACAGTTTTTGTGTGTGTGTTTGTTTCTAAAAGACTGTGTTCATCAAATATTTTAGAATGCTCTATGGAGGGAGTCCCTACTTAAAAGGCAGACGTTTATTTTTATGACTATCCTATTATAAGACATCTTTGATTTGTATATTTTAAAGATAGATATAATTCTTTTTTTTTTACAAAAATATATTTGAAAATTATCAGTAAACTGCCTCCCTTTTTTATGTTACTTTTGAGTAACATAAAGTTACTGGAATTACATAAAGTTACTATAAATCTGTATTTAGATTATTTTTTGGGACTTCACTGGTTATATTACCCAACCAACATTATATCACTATTATACTTATCTACAAGCTTGTCTTCTGAATTTGTAAAAATTGACATGTTTTTTATTCATTATTTATTGCCCAGTAGGGTTTAGATGCCAGGCACTTAGTGGACAGAGGAGGAGTTAGAAATAAAGTCTTTCATAGATCTTTTCATAATAGCAATATGTGTATGTAGGAAATTGTTTAAATAAATAACATTTAAGGACAGCTAAATACCATGAGAGTTTAGAGAGAAGGGAGATAATTGAAACTTGAAGAAGTGGCTTAGTAAAGAAAGTAGTCATGAAGTTAGAAATGATTTGGCTAGGTTGAGAAAAAGAATGTTGTAGACAAGCAGACTTTCAAAAGCAAAAGCAAGTGATACTTAATAGTAAGGGCTCCCTAAGTGTTAGTTACTATTGGTTTTTGTATCAGGCATTGTTCTAAGAATTTATATATAGGCCTACCTTTATGCTCACAGTAACTATGAATTATGTGCTGTTGTTATCCCCATTTTTGGAGGTAACTAAAGGCACAGAGAGGGTAAGTCCTTTGCCTGGAGACACACTGTTAGAAGTGACACCCAGTTGATGCCAGGATCCACTACCCTATTTTACCTGTACTATAGTTGACATCAGAAAGTACAGTGTGTTATGGGACCTCCAGGAAATAGGCATAATCAGAGTTTTATCAGAGTACTGGAACATGAGGTTAGCAGATGGACTCTGAAGCCTGTCCTCAAACTAGAGCAGACTGAATAGTCCAGGATGACGTGCCTGCTTTGGCGAGTATTATGTAGAAATGGGTATTCCAGGAGTGTATTTAGCCATGAGTTCTAATACTTTGAAAATGGTATATAGATTTATAGCACTGTGGAGAAAATTAAGATCATAGCTGGGGATATTCATTTAGCAGACATACGCTGAGTACTTGCTATGTGCCAAGCATTCTTTTAGGTACAGAAATTATAGTGGTAAATAAGACAAAGCCCCTCATTTAGACCTTCTTTAGGAAGACCTCTAGAAATAAGCTCATTTTACAGTCAGTCATGTATGCCAAGTAGAAAATAAAGCAGAGTAATGTGCCAAGAGTAACCATCAGAAGGTAGGGTAGGGTTAGGTCACAGCTTCAGGTAAGTAGTCTGGAAGGGCCTCGTGGAGGACATATCATATGGATAGACTTCACAGGAGCTAGCCCTATAAAGATCTGGAGGAAGAACATTCAAGGCATAAGAAGCTGCAAGTACAAAGGCCTGTGAGGAACAAAAGAAATCCTTTGTGCCTGGAGTTGAATGAATGAGAAGGGGGAGTTAGACATAAGGTCAAAGAGGAAAGGCCAAATGCCTTGAAATTGAGAGACTAGAGTGAAGTTTATAGCAGGTGGGGAAACAAAGCCTGAGAGCACAATGATCTTTCTTAATGTAGAACTAAGGATATTACTGAACTATGCAGAGTAGCACTAGAACGAAAGGATACGCTTGTATAGTAGCCAACATAGAATCTATTAATCTGACTCGGAGACATGTATGTTATGTGTTAAATATATTGTTTTAGCAAAGTTTACATAGCGCAGTGTGCAAAATTGATTTGAAGGATAGGAAACCCTGGAGGAATGAATCTGATTAAAACACGCATGGATAGATTAGAGACACAACGATGATGGTAGCAGTGGTTATGATATTACAGACTGAAAACTAATAGGACTTAGTGATGAATTTTATTTAGGAGTAAAGGAAAGAATCAAATACGGCACCAAAGTTTCTAACTTAAGTTACTGGAGTAACAGCGAGTACCAGCAAGATACATTTTAAGGTATTTACGTCAAGATTAAAGGACAGGTGAGAATTCAATTTTATAGTACAATAATTCCTTCCCCACTAGCGAATTTCCTTTGCAAGAAATTTGAGCATTCTCTATTTTTAACATCAGTGTTTTTTCATACCTAGTGAAAGAATCTTAGATCTCATAATGTCAATTTTAAGTACTTTCTGTTAAGGATAACTAGAAATAAAAGAACCTGGGGATTGAGTATAGAAGAGGGAGATGTTAAAGCAGATGTCAGGTTATCAGGTAGATGTGTTTGCAGGGAAGCCTTGAGAAGAAAAATGTGAAATGAAATAAATAAATAAATAAATACAAAAAAAAGAAAAATGTGAAATGCATTCCATTGACATCTGTAAGGCAGAGGAGTGCCAGTGTGTAAAAAGAGGGGCAGGATGACAGGGCATGACTTTTCTCTTTTTTTCTGGTAATGAATTTATTTATCTTTTTTCCATTTATTTTTCATTTATATGTATTTATGGGGGTACAAGCACAATTTTGTTACATTGATATACTGCATTGTAGTGAAAAGTCCTAAAATAGGAAGAATATTACTTTAATAGAGGGCTGTGCCCAAAAGGAGAAAAAAGCTTATTAATATGTTCATAAATTGCAGTGGAGAAAAATTAATGCTCAAGCTTCCTTTTGAAGCTAAAAAGTGAGGAAGTAGAAAGCAGTAATAGAGGGATCTCATTGCTAATTTAAGATAGTATCATTAATATTGTCCTTAATATTTTGTCTTGGTGTTTAACGTATTGGATATAGAATTATTTTAAGAACTTTTGTGGATTCTTTACCAACTTTAGTCCTCCAGTCTTATTTATCCATCAAATCTTAAGTTCTTCAGTTGAGAATTCACTTGTTATTGAAACAGTTACTGAGACAGTTGTTGTTATTATTACACTGATATTTATCATAAATTTGTTAAGGGTGAAAATACCTGAATTATTTTATTACATTTCCTTTTAAAAACTTAAGGAAATTTTCAAACATTTAAAAAGAGAGAAATAGTATAATAAGTCCCTGTGTACTCATCATTCAACTTTAAATGTTATCAGCTCATAATAGTCTTTTTTTGTCTGTCACCCTCTTCCCTGGTTATTTGGAAGCACACTTTCATATCATCTGGATATTATATCTCAGTTGGTGCTAAAGTTTCCATCATTGCCTCGTGTAACAGTATGTTCGAATCAGGATCCAAATAACATCTGTACATTGCAATTGATTGCTAAAATTCTTAGTCTGTCTAATCTGCTTCTAATCGCCATCTATCTTTTCTCCCCCATGCAGTTTATTTCCTAAAAAAAAAAAAAAAAATATATATATATATATATAGAAAACTGGTATCATTTGTCCTAGAGTTTTGATGATTGAATGTCCATTTAATATTATTCTTCTGTTCCCTGTTTCCTGTATTTTTGTGAATTAATAATTAGGGCAGAAATCTTGATCAGATTTGAGTTCCATAATTACTTTCAAGTGAGCTTTGCTTTTTATCTTGAGAATACTTTAGCCGTATGCCTTTTCTTGTTAAAGTCCAAAGTTCTTCTGAATTTATGCATTAGACAAAGGCTATAGTCCCTCAGATGTTACTAGTTTCAGTTACGCTTTCTCAGATGTTACTAGTTTCAGTTAATCAAACTCTATGTAGCTCCCAGAATTAAAATATTACATTATTTTGATTTTGATATTAATTATGCTTTTATTTTAAAGAATACAATTATCTTATAAATAATTTTTAAATATTTCATTTTAATAGGTGGGAATTTGAAGAAGCTGAAGAAGATCCGGTGACAAGTATCCCATACCAACTTCAAAGACTTTTTGTTTTGTTACAAACCAGCAAAAAGAGAGCAATTGAAACCACAGATGTTACAAGGAGCTTTGGATGGGATAGTAGTGAGGGTACTAATTCTCTTGTAATGATAAGTGTTTTTAATATTCAGAGGAATTCTGGGAGACAGAATTTATTTATAATATTATAAACAAACACTAACAACTTAAGTATCTGTATCTTAAACCTCTCATGGAAAGTTTGTTGACTTAGAGTTTTCTAACACATTTCTTAACTCTACAATGAAAAATAACAAAAATGACAAATATTGTAGCACCAGGCAGCACAGACTGTTTATAGAATGCTGAGATTCTCTTTTCATGACCATATATATAATTTTGTGTTCTTTTTAAATTTAGCATTATTTAAAGTAGACTTTCCCATATTTCTGCCTCTTTGCTTTTAAACATAAATTAATGTTTCATAACACTAAATTTATTGCTGTTTTTAATTAAATTTTATTTTAAAATAGCTTGGCAGCAGCATGATGTACAAGAACTGTGCAGAGTCATGTTTGATGCTTTGGAACAGAAATGGAAGCAAACAGAACAGGTAATTCATCTTTCAAATCGAGGGGGCTGTTTACTAATAAGTAATTTATTACCTTAAAGTGACTTTTATTCTTTTGAAATTTGTAAAACTTGGGTATTAGGCCATTGGTTAAAGTACTAAAAGGGGAACTGAAAGTACTAGATTCTCATTTGGCCATTACCTGAGTCATAAACATCTACATTAAACCACCCTAGGTCTCTGTTGTCTTATCTTTAAAATAAGGAAGTTGGGCTATATGAGCCAGAAGATCTTTTTTAGCTCTACAAATTATGTAATTCATATTATGTGTGTGTTTGTGTGATGATTTTGGACAGTATTTTCAGATATTAAGTGAATTGTATGTTTATAATCTGTTACACATTGTAAAGTATAGTTATGAAGCATTACCTTCATTTTGACCAGTGGAGTATAACTGTGTTTATTTGTCATTCAAGATCCTCATTAATCCGACCCTTGTCTAGTGGAAGGAGGAGCAGGTTAGGAGTGGGTGTTCTTCCCACTGCTGGGGAAGAGATGAGAAGTAGGGCTCACTTGGCTGGGGCTCAGTACAGAGGAGGGTTTATGCTGGCTGTAGTGATAAAGGGTCATAGAGATAAAAGGGGAAGATTATACTTCTTATTGGAACTATTGTGATGGCTTGGACTAGACTTTTTCAAACCATGATCTGTTGCTTATGTGGATCTACAAAGCACTTTTAAAAATGGTATAGAATAGAAACATATAAGAGAGTGTCACATACATAAGATTAAGTATTTTATATAACTTTTGTTACTGTTATATGTATTGGGTTGTAATGTAAATCATTTTCTTTCTGTAATTTGCTGTCAAATATTTGAAAAGCACTGGTTTGAATCACTTTGAAATGCCCAGTTAGGTGCAGAGGACATGTGACTAGGGCTGATGAATGATGGAAGCTTCGTTAAATAGTATTGGCATAGAGTAGACAGTGATGGTGGATCCAGTCTGAGGCTTTGTAAGTTCTAGATATTTGAAGAAGTATTAATTTATGAAAGGAATAAACCATAGTATGCTTTCCTTCATGCTTATTCTTAAGAGATAATGAACAAAATTTTCAGTTCACTTTGATCTAGTTTTTCTATGTAGTCCTGCACGACTATATTTTAGTGACTATGTAGATGTTAGTAAGGGCTGTTTCTTCTTTGTAGGTCTGAAGTTACCCTTCCTTGTTACGTTCCTCTCTATGGATCAGTATTTCTATTAGGATCAACTAGGGTATTCTTACTGAGTTCCAAGTTTGGGTGTATGAAACTTGAGACAAGACATTCACTTGGAGGATCCTAACTTAAGGAGTTTACCTGCTTTCTAAGCCAAAAGAGCCCCAGTTGGCTAAGTTTGGGAACTAATTGAGAGATCTATTCTTTTAGGATATTTTAAGGGAAATGGATTTTAAGATGTTTTCTGAATTTCCGTATTTTTTTTTTAAGTTATGGTATAATATTTCCTTGAAAAATTATTTTAGGGCGGTGCCTGTGGCTCAAAGGAGTAGGGCGCTGGCCCCATATACTGGAGGTGGTAGGTTCAAACCCAGCCCTGGCCAAAAACTGCAGGAAAAAAAAGAAAATTATTTAATGTATATTACTGAAAGTTAGAAGTTTTATTTGCATCTCAAGCAGGGGTATGATTTTATAAATCAGAATTATTATTACAAGAGTGGTGATATGCATTTCTAAAGCTATAAAAATGCAACCAGTTATTTAGCTCTGTAATTATTAACCTGCCTAATGTGATAGATTAGGATTTATTCTCATTCTGTTGAAAAGATTGTATGAGGCTTAATGGTATAATAAATAGATAACTGATTATATCGAAACTTATTTTAATAGTTGGTTCTTTCTGTGATCTGGGTCTTAAAATAGTTACTTTTGTACATTGACTCTTAAATTAATATCTATTTCATTGATTTTTGTCATCTTATTTTGTTACATAAAATTTTAGATAAATCTTATACTAAAGCTTTCGAAGATTTTTAAGTAAAAATCAATATCCTTTATCAATCATTCTCAAAAGCATGACTTGTTGTGTTTTCACATATTTTAAAAATCATTCTTAAAGATACTTTTAAAAATATGAATGTTCTTATTTTTAGGCTGATCTCATAAATGAACTGTATCAAGGCAAGCTGAAGGACTACGTGAGATGTCTGGAATGTGGCTATGAGGGTTGGAGAATCGACACATATCTTGATATTCCATTGGTCATCCGACCGTATGGGTCCAGCCAAGCATTTGCTAGTGTGGTGTGTACCTTTCACCTGACTGCTTGTGTACCCTTACACAGAATACATAATAGCACAGTGATATAATTTCTTGTAAGGTAAGTATCATCCTAGATACACCTTCTTGGGTTGTTAGTCATTCCTGCATTTAAACTATTAAGATTTAGATCTTTGATACTTCAGTGAGTCCTAATAGTGCATGTATAAGAAGGAAAATGAATGCAAATGTACTGCCTCATGGTTCAGTATTTTATTCTTTTTGATAGGTATTTAGATGATTTCATCTTTTTTTAAAACCTCAACAGTCTATTTTATAAATGCTATTTTTGTGACCACTTTTTCCACTGGAAAGTGCTTTTTGTTTTAGGGGGATTGTCTTATTACATACACTTTTGAAATTAAAAGTGTCACCTCTGGTTTTTATGACACAGACTATCTTTTTTAAAGAAGCATCCCTATTCTAAATATTTACTTTGAAGAAATACATTATATTATATAAGCACAGATAACTTAAAGGATCAAACTATAATCACCTTAATTATTCATATACTGAATATCTAATTAGGGATTATCTAAGATTTTCTTATTCTTCCTCTTGTTATCTGATTCTTAATAGCTTTTTAAATAATTTTCTTACTGCATTTTATCTATATGTATGTGTGTTTACTTATACAGAAGGTCATGGAAAGCGTTATGGTGACATTTAAAAGTGTTCAAAAATATTCATTTCAATCTACTGTATGTCAGGGGAATCTTTCAAAGCTAAATAAGACATCTAAGAAAAGTAGAATTTTGTTAGGTGATGTGTTTTGGTCTTATTTATGCTATTATTAGCTGATGGTAGCTCTTACAAAAAATGTGTTTTTAAAGCTATTTCCATACTTTATCTTCTAAAATAGCTGTACAAGTATGGGTTGGACCTGTAGGATGATTGATTCCTTTTGCTTTTTCTCCTGCTTTTATATGGCTGTCAGGACCATAATCAGCAAGAAGTAATGGAGTCAATCAGTGGAAATAAGAAGGAGGCATCTGAATAAAAGACCTTTTTCTGGATAGCATAAGATCAAATCCTTTTCTTCACTGTGTGTCACAGTCTGCTTCCTGAGAATATTTGAAATATTTTGTTAAATGTTTAGCTGTAGTATTTGTAAGTGGCCATTCTGGATAAAATTGGCCTTGATTTGGGTGGCTAGTTGTGTTTTTCATTTTCGTTTTATTTATTATATTTATTTATTTGTTTTTTAAATTTTGGTAGTTTAAGGTAGAAATGACATACTGAAAATCATTGAAAAATTAACATTTGTCTTTCAATAACTGATTTCCTTACTCATTTTTAAATATTAGCATTTCTCTGGCAAAATACTCTGGGGAAATATTTGGGAAAGTGGTATAATCCATTTTTTCTACCTTTTAGAGTGTTTTTCATGAAATATTTTTCACATACACATTTATCTTAGCTTTCTCCCCCAACATATTAATTGAATTTTGAGGAAGCTCGTTTTATTTGTTTTATTATTTTGGAATTTTATATTTGAGTATTCAGCAGATAGAATTACTTTGCTGAATCTTTATGTCATCATTCACCTGCCGATTTGCCACCACTCTCTTAAGCACATTAACAGACACAGTGATGGAGTGAAGTGGACAGTATCACATTTCTAAGTGGTATTCTCTAAAGGAGATTGGAATCCTCCAGTGATAGAGTGGTGCTCTCGGGTGGTACTGATGGTGGTGGTTCAGGGGAAATTGGAACTTATACCTATGAAGCAGTATGTGAGCAGCTTTATAACACACATGCGCTAATAGGGCTTGCGGAAGAAACTTAAAACTTCCTAGATTTTGCTGGTCTTTTGAGGGAAATTAAAGCAGGTGAAACTACCCAAGATAGGGGTTCTAAGGAGGATACTATCTTCAGAGAACTTTAGTTAGAGGTAAGTGATTTCTCATTATTTTCTGAATTCAAACTTGTATCTTACTCTTCTTAGTCCACAAATATCATCATATAGCATCTAAAACTAGTTTTATATCACTGCTTGCTATTATGTATTTTGTTAATTCTATATGTTTTAAAAATTTTCATATAAATATGAACTGAAAATACCTAGTTAAAAGAAGCATTATAAAATTGTTCACTCAGACACTCATCCTATATAAAATTTGGCATTAATTTTAATTGAACTTTCTAAAAATTACTTTCCTCTATTAGTTGACTCTGGTATTTTTTTCTTATTGCTATAATGTAGATATACACATACACATTAACACACACATGAACACACAGAAAGATACAAATTGATGGCTGTATGTTCTGTTTTTTGAATGTTATTCAGTGTGTGACGATATTATGGGTTTGATTTCAGATAGTTTGTATGTAAGGTTCTGTTAAAAGTTAAAGTTTTTTTGTTTTGTTTTATTTTTTGACCTTCATCTGAAACATCCAGTTTTTGGAGTTGTTTAATCTTCATTCTCAAATATATTAACTCACAAATACATTTAAGATTAAAATATGAATCAAATTAGTGCTTACCTAATTTATCATTATAACATCCATAATGAATTTTTATAGTTGTTTTTCAGCATGATTGGTAAGAATTATTTTTATAATGAGTACTAGAACTCTCTTAGAATTAAAAAAAGCCATTCATTATAATGTTTTCTTCATTGAATTTTTTTTAATTATAACTGATATTTATTAGATATATAATCTCAACTTTCTTGGCCACGAGGGAATCTGTCCCCTTCTGTATCTGTCAGGCTGAATTCTGTTTAACACTAGTCTGTTAGAGGATTTAATAGGTATTCTGGGGAAGGCTCTTTTGATTAAATAAATTTGGAAAACTTAACAGTAATCCTCTTTGGGAAGATGACATACAGTGTGCATTTTAAATGCTCCAATGATCCATGTATTACAGTGATTTGTTTAAATGTGTTTAACCTAGAGTTTTCCTTTTCGGTGAGACATCCCTTGACATTAGGATTCTGAGGAACACATTTTGGGAAGCTCTATGCTAGATTAAGGTGATTTAAGGAATGTTTCTATTTTGTTAAGTTAATATTTATGTTCTTGGGGTGTTGGAAGGAATGAGAATACTGAAATATGTGTTAAGCTTTTCTATTACTTTACATGTTTTATTAATACTGAAAAATTATATCAGCTGAAGAATTACTTGTATTGGACAATTATAACACTTTTGTTCTTAATGATTTGTTAGATAATTAGAACCTTTTGTGTTCATTGATTAGATCAAGTTAAACCTGAATCTACTTACTGCCAAGTGCATTTGAAAATGTGTTGTTATAAGAAGATACATAGAAATTAGAAATATGATTTTTTGTTGGTTAATTATGAAAACTTTTAAAATTAAAGATAAATGATGCAGTCTTATATGCTTGACATGAAGGAAGTACGTTTTCATTTAGTAGTAAAATTTTAGACTCTCTTTTGTCATATGACGTATTTATTTAGCCCCTTCTTAATGGCAGACACTGTTCTAGGTCATTTTCTTTTAGGACACTTCTATTCTGTTATTGAATAATTATATTTACATACCTATTTATTATGTCAAAATGTGTTTGAAGTCTGGAATTGGGTTTAACTTCATCATTCCATACAATGCCTTTGGAGAGGTAAGATTATGTACAAGACTTTTGTTCCCTAAAGAAACATAGTTTAATGATTATTTTAAAGTTTTGAATGGAAAGTTATTAAGTTAGTATTTATGAAATCAAAAGCATTTCAATATTTAGTTTATGCAAGTCTTTATATTATATGTCCTACCCTGATTTAACAGGTGAAGTGGACATTTTTATATGGCTGGCTCAGCCAGGTAACTCATTTGGATGAAGGACTGGTGCAAATTTGTCCAAATATATAAGCATCACATAAAGAAAACTGTCTTCCACAGACTGTACCCTCATTTTTCCAGGAATTTGTGTGGTTGGACATAGTGGGAACCAGTTTAAAAAAGTGGGGACTTCTGCTTTCAGGAAGATGGAGTAGATGTACATTGCCCTATTCCTCCCGCTAAAACAACTGAAAACCTTGAACATTATATATAAAATAAACATAAGAAGACTCTGAAAGGTGGAGAGAAGGCATACAAACTAGGGACCTCAGCACCCAAGAAATGACATGGTGGTGAGTTCCATGGGTTTTCTTTTTGCCTAATATATCCCAAACTTGGAGCTGAAGAAGCTGGCAACCTGGAAACAGAACTGGGCACAAACTATGAAAGCCTTCTCTCTTTAGCTGGAGGAGCAGGAAAGGGACAGATTAGCAAGTAAGAAAACTTTTAGACAATAACTGGTCTGTTCTAGCCAAACACCACAAAAAAAGTGTGGCCCCACCTCAACTCATGCCGGCCACGGAGGAGTGAGTGAACCTAGACTGCCAGCCTCATAGCATTGTCACAAGGCTCAGTGATACTCTCTAACTCCTCTTCCCCACCTCTCACTGGGAGGGTTTCACAGAACACTAAGTAGGGAGCCAAGACTGTCACCCTGCCAGGCAGTAACGAACCTCCCCACCACCATTGCCTGTTCCCCTGGTTCACTGTCATTAGGAACCACATGAGGAACCTGGCCTTCTACCCTCACCTGACAGTAATGAGGTACTCCATCTCCCTATTGGCATGATGTCAGAGGAGGCTAGTGGAGTGTCACGATGTTCACAGCCTCACAGGTCATGAGGCCAGTTCCCTCCTGTCTATGGTATCAGTGTTGGCCAGAAGTGGAGCAGTAATGAAATGCTACTGACTCTTACAGCCAAGGTTCTATCAGCAGAGAATTCCTGCCTTTGCCCAGCAATAATGAGGAGCCCCCTCTCCTCCTCAGGTAGTAACAGAAGTCAAGTGGGAAACCTGGATTTCTAAATCTACCTGGGACTACTAAGGCAGAAGCCCCTTCTGCAGCTGGAGCAGTGCCAAAGGAATCCAGCTAAATAAGAGGATTTAAATAGAGTCCAGAATCTCATAATACCCCAAATGTTCAGATTTCAATCAAAAATTTTAGTTCGAACTAAA